CCTGGCTCGCTCGCTGTCGTTGGTGTCAGGCATCCACTCGAGAGGGGCTTCCTCGATACGCGACCCGAGGTAGGCCAGATAAGACTCGAAGAACGACACCTCACCTGCACCGCACCAACCATCACACCACACACCAAGGGATGGATAGAAAGGGCGATCCATTCGCGCCTTGTGGCCCTTAGCCGGGCACTGCACACATGACATGGCTGGCTCACCTCTCAGATGAGCTCTCCCCTCGTCCCCCACTCCCCGCTCCTTGAGATAAGCATCCAGCAGCCGCAATCTCTTGAGAAGCCCCCGCACCGCCAGACGCAGCGGGTGCAGCCACTCGGCCGCGAACGTGCCCCTCAGGCAGAAGTACTGCGTGGCGAACACGTGCTCGTAGCGGATGGATATGGCGTTGGTGCGGCCGTCGATGGACACCGACCGGTGCGCCGGGACGGTGTACATGTAGCTGACTGAGAAGAGGTGAGAGTGGGGGTACAAGTCCAGACGAGCATGGCCGTCGACAGAGGCGACGGATAGCACGTCTGGGCGGGGATGGGAGGGCGGGACAAGGGGGGCATGGGTGTCCAGGCAGACCCCCTCTCGGCTATCGGGCCACGCGAAACTGCAAATGCGATGCCACCCCTGAGAAGACAGATAGGACAGACACAGACATTGCACTGCACTGCAGGAAGGCGTCACATAGCAGCATACATCACTCCTCCCTCACCTGTACTAAGTCGACCTTTGCCCCAGCCCTCTCCACCACCTCTTTGCTCCACCAGGGCCGCCAAGCATACCGATTACGCACTTCAAAGGCGGTCCTGACCTTCTCGCGAAGCTGCGATGTGACGTGCTCTGTCCGCAGCCGCTGCCTGACGCCCTCAGCGTCGAAGTAACTCGCCAGCGATGCGTTCGGATGGACGATCAGGCTGGATCCGTCGCCGAAGACGATCTCGGTGCGCTCGTCGGGGAAGATGGAGCACTTGACGACGAAAGCCCCTGCCATCGCAGCAGCTGCATTGTCAATTGCATTCATTCAGGTGCGTCAAGAAATTCATCATTCCCATTCTATTTTATTCTACTATCGTTGTGTCTCGTGGATCGCGCCTCGCCCTTCGTTCCTCCCAGATCCTGTGCACCAACTCATCGGTATGAAACACGGGATGGACGAAGGCACGGAAATGGACGGAGGTGTGTGCTGTGTGCGGGTTGACTCATTGACATGGATGTGCT